ATCAATGTGGTGAAATTAACTAATCTGATTAATTCTATGTTGAAAACTGTTCCCCAGGAAAAGAGAACAGAAATTACAGAATTTGCATTAGATGCACTAGCTCTTTTTGGTCAGGCAAATTACCTCATGAATTTACGACGAAAAGAAGCCCATAGAAAGGACATTTCTTATGAGTATAGACACCTAGCTTCAGCCAATGTCAAATATACAGACCAGCTTTATGGCGACAACTTAGCTGAAACATCAAAAGATATTGGCTCAGTCAATAGAATTGGCAAGAAACTTAATACCTTCTCGAAGAGAGGGAATTTCAGAGGACGTAGTCGAGGTCGAGCTAGAGGCAGAGGTTTCAACCAGTTTAATAACAATGCGAAATACGCAACAAGGGGTAGAAGACCTAGTTTCAGGGGGAAACGATCATATCCTCACCCATCAAATTATGGCTCTAACGGTGCAACACCATCAAAGCAAGCCAAATTTGCTAGCAACAGTACAAATGCCAGCAAGAAGTGACTAGGCCATCCCATGTCAGATTCTGAGGTAAGTGAAGTCACTAAATTTAAAGCAGGTAGATTGAAACAATTTATCCAAGAATGGAAAAGATATACAAGTGATCCAAATATACTAAATATTGTTTCAGGATGTACCTTTGAATTTGTTAGTGATATATGGCCAGTGCAAGATTATTTACCACATGTAATGCGTTTCAGTCAGAGCGAGACAGAAAAAATTGAAATTGAAATTCAAAAATTTCTAAGCCTTGGGGTTATCAAAGAAGTTGAACATGAACCTCATGAATTCATATCTGGCATATTTACAACTCCAAAGAAAGATAGTGATGAATTGAGAGTGATACTTAATTTGAAAAAACTCAATGAAAGCATTGTTTATCATCACTTTAAGATGGACACGTTTGAAATTGCTCTGAAACTTATTACAAAAGATTGCTTTATGGGATCTATTGATTTGAGACATGCTTACTATACAGTGCCAGTAGATGAGCAATATCAAAAATTGTTGAAATTTGAGTGGAATGATAAGCTGTTTCAATATACCTGTTTACCAAATGGTATAGCTTGTGCACCAAGGTTATTCACAAAATTGATGAAACCAGTTTATTCTACATTGAGACAATTAGGTCACATGATAGTTGGTTACATAGATGATTCATTACTGGTAGCAAGCACTACTGAAGAGTGTACAAATAATGTTGAAGCAGCTGTACACATCATGACTGAACTAGGGTTTTCTGTCCATGAAACTAAAAGTGTGATATATCCAACTAAGCAAATCCGATTTTTAGGATTCATTATTGATTCTGAAAGAATGACAGTTACATTGCCAGAAGAAAAATGTATTTCAATTGGAAAACAGTGTAAATCAATGCTTAATAAGACCGAAGTTAAAATTAGAGATTTAGCATCTTTAATAGGTTTACTGGTTTCCACTTTCAGTGCTGTAGAGAATGGTCCATTATTTTATAGAATATTGGAAAGTGAGAAAATAGCAGCATTAAAACAAAATAATGGTGACTTTAATGCTCCCATTTTTGTTTCCAGGGCAATGAAACAAGATTTAGTTTGGTGGGCAGAAAACCTGGAGAATCAGCATAGACGTATTTTGCCAAGCACTCCAGATCTAACTATACATTCTGACGCATCTATGGATGGTTGGGGTGCTATATGTGAATCTATAGGTAAGAAAACTGGTCAGAGATGGTCAATTGAAGAAGCAATTTGTCACATCAATATGCTAGAGCTATTAGCAGCTTTTCATGCATTGAAATGTTTTGAACAATTTATTGTTGGAAAGCATGTCCACCTGTATCTAGACAATACTACAGCAATAGCTTATATTGAAAATAAAGGTGGAATAAAATCTCCTGAGTTAAACAAAGTTGCCAAGCAGCTGTGGATTTGGTGCATAGAGAGAAATATTCACATTTCAGTATCCCACATTCCTAGTGAATCTAACCCAGCAGATACTCCATCTAGGAAATTCAATGATAATATTGAATGGCAACTGAATACTCATATTTTCTCTCAAATTACTGACATGTGGGGTATTCCTGAGATAGATTTATTTGCTACAAGGTTGAATACTCAACTGCACAAGTATGTATCATGGCAACCTGATCCTGGTGCTATAGCAATAAATGCATTCTCTATGACTTGGTCTGACAATTACATGTATATGTTTCCTCCTTTCAGTCTGATAGGGAGATGCTTGCAGAAACTACAACAGGACAAGGCAGATGCCATACTTATAGTCCCACTTTGGCCTACACAAACTTGGTTTCCGGTCCTAATGAGACAATTGACTCAGATACCAGTGGTGTTACACACACAGCTACAGTTGTTGATATTACCACATGTGAACAAAGTGCATCCACTTCACAACAAAATGTTGTTAATAGCATGCCAAGTATCAGGGAAATCATCCAAAACCAAGGATTTTCAAAACAAACTACCGATATCATATTGGCATCATGGAGAACTGGAACTCAAAAGCAGTACAGCTTATATTCTAAAAAATGGTTTTCATACTGTATTGAAAGAAAAATTGATCCAGTTCAGGTTTCTATAAATAATGTATTAGCATATCTGACTATGTTGTACCATACTGGATTGAGTCATAGTTCTTTGAACACTGCTAGAGCAGCACTATCTAGCTTGGGTATAGTTATACAAGGTATTTCTGTGGGGTCCCATCCTTTAGTCACTAGATTTATGAAGGGAGTCTTTAATCTAAAACCTCCCACTCCTAGATATGCTCATACATGGGATGTTTCACTAGTTC